AAAAAAAAAAAAAAAAAAAGAAAGTAACGCCCATTAAACATTTCTAGTTTGGAAAGATTAGATTAGAATTTAGGGTTTTTGCAAGTATAAAATTTCTCAATTTGAATTTCACTTTAGCAAATCTAGCATTTCATTTTTTAACTTTTCGTGGAGGCATAATATGCGTACTGAAGTACATGCATAATGACACAGCTTGATGAATTTTCACGTCCAGATCAAGATCACCGTGTCACCATTACCAGCATCCCAGAAGCTTTCTTCTCCACTCTTACCCCTCCCACCCAGTATCCTGACCAAGATCAGTTTTTCCTGTTTTTGTACTTTTTATGTAAATGGATCATGCTGTATCTGTATTGAATTTAATGTAACAGATTATCATTCTTAAGTGACATTCCTGATAGCACCTTACTGAAAACAAGGTCTGTTTTCAGTTTTCCCCATTATGTATCTAATTTGGTAAAGTGGCAGCTTCCTACTGTTTTTTAATCTTAAGAGATTTTCTTGCTGGGCGCTGTGGCTCATGCCCATAATTCCAGCACTCCGGGAGGCCAAGGCAGGTGGATCACTTGAGCTCATGAGTCCAAGACCAGACTGAGCAAGAGTGAGGCCCCATCTCCAAAAATAGCCAGGTGTTATAGTGGGTGCCTGTGGTCCCGGCTACTCAGGAGGTTAAAGCAAGAGGATTGCTTGAGCCCAAGAGTTTGAGATTGTATGAAGTATGACATCATGGCACTCTACTGGGGACAAGCAGTTTTTGGCCCGGGTTGGGTTCAAGCCTGCCACCCCTGGTATATGGGGCTGGCACCCTACTCCTTGAGCCACAGGCACTGCCCAGAAAGAAATTTTCTTTGTGGCTTGGTGTGGTGGCTCACTCCTGTAATCCTAGCACTCTGGGAGTCTGAGGATTATAGGTGGGTGGTGGGTGGTCACCTGAGCTTAGGACCAGCCTAAGTAAAATTGAGACCCTGTCTCTACTAAAAATAAAAAAAACTAGCCAGGCGTTGTGGTAGTTGCCTGTAGCCCCAACTACTAGGGAGCCTGAGGTAAGAGGATCCCTTGAACCTAAGAGTCTGAGGTTGTTATGAGCTATGATGACTCCACAGCACTCTACCCAGGGCAATGGAGTGAGACACTGTCTAAAAAAAAGAAATTTTCTTTGGATGTATCTGCACATGTATGTGTGTGCATGTTTTTAAAAATTTTACTCAAAAACAAATGAAAGAAAAACACATGCCTTTAAATGGGCCTGATTAACAAAAACTAAATAACAAAATAAATAAATAAAAATTTTACCCAAAGTAGATCACGCTGTGTCATGCATATTACTCACCCCCAGTGGAACTGATGAGCTCTTCTGATACATGGGGTCCCCTAACCCCAGTGTGGTACCTCAGCGTATGGATGTCCTGGAACTTAATGGACCAGCTGTCCACTGATCGGTTAGGTCGCTGGTCTTCTATGTTAGAACAGTAGAATCTGTATGAGTTTATCTTTAAAATAAATTCTTGGGAGTGGAAATGGAGTCCGTGCAGTTTACATCTGCTGAGATATTTGCCAGTGGCCTTCCAAAGGGCTTTTCGAATTTTTATTCCCACCAGCGAAAATTCCTGTCTCCGGTGTCCTTGGCTTAAATTGTGTGTCATCAAGCTCGTTAATCCATCCAGTCTGGCGTAGGAAGTCCAGTGCGTCGATGTTAACTTTTTAAGGTGTTCTTTTTAAAGTCTTGAGTGAGGTTAGTTATTTACGTTTACTGGACATTAGTGTTTCTCTTGGGACTTGTTTCTGTTCTTTGCTCATTTTGCTATAGACTTGCTCATATTTTTCTTAATGATTTCAAGGAACTCTTTCTATATAAAGGAAAATAGCCCTTTTATGTCATCCACAGGGTAATTTTTTTAAAAAATTTGTTTTTGTCTTTACTGTTTCTAGCATCTACCCTCCCCCCCAAACAGAAGGTTTTAATTTTTATGTGGCAAAATGTACCAGTTTTTTTCTTCAGTAGCTTCTGAATTGTGTGTGTATTTAATGAGAAAAAGCATTGGAAACTTGAGACAGATAGCTTAGGCCTGGCATGGGGAAAAACGTCAATGAATATTTGTGGGAAATGTGGGTAAGCAGGAATTCAAATTTCAATCAAAAGTGGCACGGCCAACTATAAATGAATAAAAGTTTGCGGCACTCTCTCTGCCAAAATTTGTTTATTATTTTTAATAGCATTTGGAGGGATATTCACTGTTATGCTTTTTTCCTTTTATGCTTTGTTATTTGGGGTTTTAATTTCTCAAATGATCCTTTTTTTTTTTTTAGATTTCAAATTATAACGCATTTCCTGCATCATTGCTGACGTCCAGTGATCCATGTCAGAAGTACTTCCAGGTCAGATACGTTTTGGCATATTTCAATGCAGAAAAGCAGTTGAATATTAAAACTTAGAAAAAAAATGATAGACAATTGTTTAATGTTAAACTTACGATTTGCTAAAGTAATTATGGTTTTGATTTTCATTGTTCTTCACTAATATAATATAAAAATGAATCTTAAGTAGAAGCATCTATTGGACTTCCGTATTTGTCTAATAATTTGCATTATTATGTAAGAATATTTTAGTTGACTGAAGTGGGACATTAAAACTGTCACATTGTATCATGTAGCCTTGTACATCAGTGGCATTGTACATTGTGGCTGGTGAACTATTTAAGTGTGGACAAATGACCAGGTGTTGGTGTTGTCTCCCTCAGAGTCTCAGGTTGCAGAATTCCTTTAGGACAGAACCCCTAGTCAGTATTCTTCTTAGGTTTAATGCTGATTAGTTTCAGGCCTTAGAAAAACTTCTTTAATTTTATAGCATGTCTCTTTCTTGGTCTCATGGTAGACTCTAGTATTTCATATACATAACATGCTGTGGGATTTAATTCCTAGCCTCACAGTAATATAATAAAGAAAAAGCAATTGCCTTGACATTTCAAGTTAAAAATTATTGGACTGCAAGTGGCAGATAGATCTGGGTAGATTCCATGTTTATTAGGATACACCCAGCAAGTTCTATTTCTTAAAATCAGTAGGTTTAACCACAGACAAATAGATATTAAAGTCTCTAAATTTCAAAATTAAACTTACTAAGTATGTTCAAGCTTTTTTCTCTTTTATACATGTGTCACTTTGCATGTTACGTTTCAACAAAGAACTAAATCATAACAAGCACCAGGCTCAGTAGAGGGCATATGAGTGGCAAGAAAACAATATCCTTTTATAAAAAATAGCCAAAAGCAATATGACAGCCCTGAGTTCACACAGGAGAACTAGGAACTGAGAGGTGCTTCGTAGAGGCCACTTAATCTTACTGTGATGATCTGGGGAGGTATAGATTGTCTTTATCAATACATATTGGAGAGGCATATTAGTTTTAGAAAAATCAAGACAAATATATGTGTCTTTTTTTTTTCTTTTTTTGAGACAGAGTCTCACTTTATTACCCTCAGTAGAGTGCTGTGGTGTCATAGTTCACAGCAACCTCAAACTCTTGTGCTCAAGTGATTATCTTGCCTTAGCCTCCCAAGTAGCTGGGACTATAGGCGTCTGCCACAACACCCAGCTATTTTTAGTAGAGACGGGAGTCTCTCTCTTGCTGAGGCTGGTCTTGAACTTGTGAGCTCAAGCAATCCACCTGCCTCAGCCTCCCAGAGCTCTGGGATTCTAAGTGTGAGCCACCGCGCCTGGCCTCTACATGTGCCCTTTTCAAAAATGTTTTAAATAGCGGGAGTAAGTTTTGTAGGGATCCTTTGCATTGTAAGATAGACTTATTATGGAAACGTTAAAAGAATGAAGTTGGCGAACATAAAATGATGTGTGTTCCTCTGAATCACACATCACTGGAGGTGGATAATCATCGAGTAACTTCTAGAAAGCTCTTATTGTGGCTGTACTTTGTTTTAGTGATAGTTTCTTTCTTCTAGTTGGTACCCAAATTGCTTTATTCCTTGGCAGTTATATAAGATACTGAAGCAGTTATCTAGCGTGGTTTTTAAATGACAGCTACTACTCTCATGTATTGGTATAACATGTAACACATTTTACAAGGAAAGCAGTATTCTTAGTTCAGGGGAAGATCTTACTCCAGCCCTGCTTTATTTTATTTACTTGAAAATTCAAATGGCAACTACTGAGGGAGGGTCTGAATTAGAAGTGGGATGAGATATGCCTCTAATCCCTTCTTCTAACTCTCAAGAGCTGTGACTTCAGGGAGCCTTTTACAAAACAAACATACCAGAATTAATACTGTTATGTGTCTCTAAAATTCCTGGTGACCCTTCAAGATCAAGTTCAGGAGGCCCTTCCCAGCAGGTCTTAGCCCCTGTTACGGTAACATAAGCCCCTATCTTATTTCTGCTTGTGCTTAATATTTTTTCCGCCTAGAATTGAGGCCCTGGTTTATTACTCAAGGAAATATATGACACTTCACAGCTCACCTGCTTTTTTTCACATAAACCAATATTCCCAAGCTGGATCATTGACCACACTCATCAGACATGACCATAAAAGTCTAGAGCTCTGTTAAAATAAGAAAATTCATCTTCAGAAGACATTTAGGTTTTACTAAAGAATGCAAACAGCTTAGAAGCTGAGCAGAGAAGAGAGCCAGACACGGTGGTGCACATCTGTAGACCCAGCTGGACAGGACGCTGAGGCAGGACGATCACTTGAGCCCAGGAGATTGGGTCTGTAGTGTGCCATGTACTCCAGCCTGGGCAACATAGGGATACCCTCTCTCTAAAATTAAGAAGAAAGGAAGAAATTGAACAGAAAGCATATCCTTAGAATAAGCTTGTGATTTCCGAAGGTGACGTCTTCAAATGTTTTACTTCTTATTTGAATACACACATTTCCTGCGCTGGGTGTTCTGAATAACCGTTCCTCACATCTGCCAGGCATGATGTTGGGAATGCCCAGCTTTCCCCTGTCTAGAGTGCCTTGTTCTTCTTGTCCACTGGTGGGCTCCTTGTTAGGCCTTCAAGACCCGGCTTCACACTTCCTCTTTGGGGAAGCCTTCCCCGACCCTCTCTCCTCATCCCTAACCCTGTCCTCACCCAGGGCCTCTGCCTACTCCGGCTATTCTGAGTTTGTGTTATAAATAATTTATTCTTTCTCACCACCCAAGCTGAATTTTTTTACAATTGACAAATAAAGATTATATATATTTATCATGTACATGTGGTTTTGAAATATGTATGCATTGTGAAATGGCTAAGTCAAGCGAGTTGAATGGGGCATGGAAACCCTCACATGTTGAATCAATCTCCCCTGTATCTTAGAGAATCAGCTCTGTGAAGCTGCTCTCCTTGCTAGAATCTTACCACGTTCTCATCCTGCACCCTCCCTGGCTGTGTGACCCAAGCAGCTGTCTCATAACTTTGGCCTCTTTTATTCACAGAGAAGTTCTTATCATTTTTGTCACGTTGAAAGTTTGCTTTCATAAGTAATTTCAGGAAACCAGTTTTATTTTGCCTCCCCTTCCTAACAGGAAAAGAAAACTCTGAGTTTATTTCATTTCCGTAATGCTTTGAGGTCTAGTTCAAAGGCAGCGTTCCTTAGGGCAGCAGTTTCGCTGTTCATGTCCTCCCTGGATATAAAATTCTATAGCAGAAAAACAGAAATGAAGAAAATGAGAAGTTTCCTTTCAGAACGGGGCAGACATTGGGCTTCCTTGGACCCATTTGTCAGTTCTGGGTCCCATTCGTCAACTTCCAATCTTACAGGCATGTCGCGGGAACAGAGGGAGAGAGCAGGTTTTTGAACAGGGAAGCGTTTCCCATCATTCCTCACAAACTCCTGCTTTGACAAGAGGCTGGAGGTCTCAGAAAAGGGCAAGGGAGGAGGGGGAAGCCACGTGGCCCCACGGATCCAGCCAGGTTTGTGTTAGGATGTAGGCTGAGTTGTGGGTTTGAGAAATTAAGGAATTAAAGTGATCCTGGCTTATCTCATTTTGTGTAGGCTTTGTAAAAACACTCTCTTAGTCACAAAACAGGGAAAACTCCACTCAAAGTGGCTTAAAGCAAAATAAATAAATGAATGAATGGATTTGACCCGAGAAGCCCAGAGGTGTCATGTTCCAGGTGTGGCCTATTTTAGGGATTCGGTCATTAGGCCTTGCTTGCTTTCTCTCTGGCTCTGGGCTCTGCTTTTTTGTTTGTTAGATTCATGCTTAAACCAGGTCGTCTCTTCATGGTGACCCCTTCAAGCTCTAGGCTTAAATCTAAAAATTCAAGTAAAAGAGAAAAACAAGCCCCTCTTCTTATCATTCTAACAAAAGTCTCCCGATTGGCTTTGTGTGGATCCCATGCTTTTCCTTGAAACAGCCACTAGAGCCGTGGAGATTTGCTGCTTTAATCAGCTGCATCGTGGCGATGTGTCCCCCGCAATAAAGGATGCAGTCGTGTCCTCCCCAAAACCATGGGGCATAAGCATTATGCGTACTTTGACTTTGTCAGTTTTGCTCACTGCTCTGTCCTCAGCCCTTGGAAGGATGTCTGGCACACAGAAGTATGCAAAAAATATCTGTCAGGTGAATGCATGGGTGTAGGAAGGCTAATTCCGCAAGAAAATTTGTGAGGCTTTTAACAGGAAAGGAGGAAATACGTGCCAGGCTGTCACAGATGTTTCCCCATCATGCATGCTGGAGAGTGATGGCAGTGGTAATGTCAGCTCTTGTCACACTCTTAAATCTGAACTTACGCCTACCTCTGGAATAGGAATTGATCCTCTTGAATTGATGTGGGATCTTCATAAGTCACACTCAAAGCTGCATGATGAATAGAGGTGGAGGTGATGGCAAAATCAGAGGAGGCCCATTCCCCTGCCAGAAACCCAGGAGACCAACCGTCATGGTTACTGGCTTTTTGTTTATTCACTCTCCATTAATTTTGCTTATTCTGCTCACTCTTGTGTTCCCGGCCTTGAGGAGAGTACCTGCCACATAATGGTAGATGCTTAGTAAATGATTAACAAAATGAGTGAATGAATTAATGAATCAAAAAACACTTCCTGAGTACTTTTATATGCCAGGCTCCTTAAAAGGAACTGGAAATACAAAAATGAAAGAATTTATGTAAATCAAAACCACAATAAGATACTATTTCACACCAACCGGGATGGCTGTAATATAAAAGAAACAGTAACAAATGTTGGCAAGGATGTGGAGAAATTGGAGCCCTCATACACTGCCGGTGGGAATGTGAAATGGTACAACCACTTTGTACAACAGCCTGGCAGTTCTTCAGAATGTCAGTTATATATGTATGTGTCTGTGTGAGTGCGTGCGTTTAAAAAATGAAAGAGCTACCACACTCAGCAGTTAAATGCCCGAGGGTACACCCAAAACA